ACTGGCAAATAAAGCTTACAGAGCGAAGGAGTGCCGTCAGCTTTGCCGCATTTTCGTGTCTCCGTCGTCGGCCACAAAACTCGGCTCACATTATTCATGTTCTCATCGCGAAGGCAAACAGTTTAAAGCGTGTTTTCAACGCGTTTCTCGATTTTCTTCGCCTATTCTACATGAACGATAAGGTAAATATTTGGAAATCGACCGGAAGGGCAAACATTCGCATTCCGGCTGAATAATTGTCCGCTTGGCGACTCATCCACTTTTGAAAACACCGTGCTTTTGGCGCCAACATCTGCACGTCTGCGGCCATGGGTCGACGACGGCGGTTTCCTGGTCGTTTCGGAGGACAGTGGTCCTCGAGCGATGGTCGAGCGATTTTTCGCTTGACCGCGGCACATTTGTTGACCACGTGCTGCAACTCGGGTTGTTCGCCGCTTCGACGGCGGTTTTTGCTGTCGGTCGGTCGTACGTCAGTGGTTCTGGCTCTTTCGCCGTTCCATTTCACTGATTGTTGGCAAGAGCAAAGATTTTACCACCGCTTCCTACTCAGCTGCGAGGTCGAGAAGAGCCGAACTGAGCGAGAAACTATATAACTGTAACTAGAAGAACGAGGTCTTCCCCTTGATGGGTACTTCTTCAACTACATGCTGTTTGCGGATGACATTCGCATCCATTTAACGGCATCAGAACAATCCGAAGATGAACCGAAGAGCTAAACGATGCCAGTGCGAAAGTGAGGCTGAAAATGAACCTGAAGAAGACTCAGGTCGTGTGCAGAAATGCTTAGCCGCGCGACCTGTTCAAGAATTGCCAAACTACCTCTGTTTGACACAGCTCGCCTCTGCAACGGAGAACCGACTGCAGGAAATCAATGGAAGAACAAAGATGTTTTTGGGCACTTCTCGAAGACTAGAAAAACTAGAAGTTCCTATCCGGACAACTGCGCTTATACGTGAAACGGAAAGTATTCGACCAGTGTGAGTGCTAATATATGGATGCGAAAAGTGAACTCTCATCCCGAAGGCTATTCATAATCTGCAGACTGTGCAACACAACATGGAAAGATGTCCGGCGAGAATAACAAGAAAAGATGGAAAGACAAATGTGAATTGGTAAGAGCAGAAATCAGACTCTTCGATATCAATGCCCCGACTGAACAAGTTAAAGTTACAATGGGCAGGGCACGGTGCAAGAAGAGAGACGTTACACTGAGTACCAAGAGGAGTGAATAGCTCGTAGGCGAACCTCCAGCTTGATGACAGCGTGAGCTGAAGAAGTTTGTCGGATGGAGACGAATGAAACTCGCAGATAAGGGAAATTTATGGTAAAGTTTTCGAGAGACGTTTATCCGGACTGGGTTTAGAGATATGGATATTCCGTCCAGTTCCATCCAGTTTTTCTAGTCACTTTCAGCCATATGATGTGAAGAACAATAATCGATTCATGAGCTGAATGATCCGCACTTGTTATCACTGCAGCTGACATAG